AGACTAAAACTGTTTTCTCTATTTCTGAAATTAATTCTTATATTTTTTAGAGACTAGATAAAGAAATGCAAGTTTTCAGAGTTCCACATTTAATAATTTTGGTTACAGACATAGTCTTTTGGGTGAAATCATGCCCCAGATTTGAAAAACACTTGATATAAAATGGAAATGTCAAACATCATGTGACATTTCTATTTTTTAACTTGTTTGTTCTTAAACTTCTGGCAATATAATTCTTATTTACTACAGTATAACATTAAAATAACATTGAGACAATACACAAAATGTAACTATGCTCGGAATCTGCTCTCTGTAAATGGTTCAATAAAGCCATTACTGCTTTCAAACAATTAATTCTCACCCCCTATTAAGCAAGTCTATTAATCTCTTGCACAAAATACAGCAACATAGGAATCAAGCAATCAAATAGTGCCAATGAAATATGCACAAAATGATAAACTCTTAAATGAGAAGTCCATTTTTAAATTAAATACTATGCATATATCTATCCTTCTATGCATGTGCTATGTCACAAACTTTAATTATATTAATGTTTGTTTTAAGTTAGCTTTATTCGAGTAATTTTATCTATACTCATGTATATTTTAAACTGGTAAAAAGAGTATTCTTAAATTGTTAAAGCTTTAATTAGCTCGGTATTCTTGAAACTGTACCAAAGACAGGAAACTTTTACGAGTACACATCTGGTTTATGGCCTTTTACTTAACAGTAGAAATGATGGCAGTTAAGGTGATTGTCGAATTTCTGCGCTCGAAATTTTACTAAATTGGGTGGGAAGTCATAAATCAGCTTTCTCATGTTCACTTGTTTTCGCTTTGTTAAATTTGCAAAGTTTCTTTCAGGATAATGGGGGTTTGTGTAAGTTTAGGTAATTGGATTTTCTTTTCGTTAGTTTCACTGTTAGCTGGGGGGTCTATTTCCCACGTTTCTCCCGAGTACAGATGGCCAGGACTCCTTTGTCGGATTTCACCTTGTTTTTGATTCATTGTGGGGATGAAATTTCTCAGTTAAAGATAAAGTATAATTCTGGTGTTGGTGAGATTTAATTTTATGATTTTTTGTAAGCCTATGAAGTTTCGGGGCTGAAGAGAACGAGTTTACCTCAGAGGCTGCCCAATGTTAGAAGTAGTCTGATTTTGGGCTTCAATGGAAAAAAAAAAAGTAGGAAAAATTGTGGCAGGGCTTGACCCCTTGCGGGTCTTGCTTGCCTGTCGGAGCGAAATCTGATATGGAGTGATTTGAGCAGCAGTGATGTGAAGGAGAAAAGTGAACGAGAGGTATTTTGCCCTGCTGCTGGCTTTATCATGCAGTCGGGTTGCCTGAGCAAGAGGGCTTGGGCTGCATCTTTCTTTGTTCTAGAGGTTGCATTCTTTTCTGCGAAATGTTGGAAAAGTTTTTATGCGAGATACAAGGAACATTTTCCTCGAGATGTCTGGAGAAATATGCTCGAGCTGCAAAGAGCATTTGACTGAGAGCTGATTAGAGCGAGATGTCTAGAGCAAATCTACCAAGAAAATTTAGAACAGATTTTTGCCCTGCACCTGAATTTCCAGATAACCTCTTCTGAACCTGAAAATTTGACATTCTCAAAGTGAATATGCCTGACACTTGGAAGTTGCGGATCGATGTGTAGTTATTACTATCCGGCTCCTGTGGTTCTCGACGCCTAGATGTTCCACACAGAAATATGTTCCTGAAGAACGAACTTTTCACTGATCTGGCGATTAGTTTTACGAAAAGTATTTCACCCCATTTGAATATTTTGAATAATGACCAGTTAATTTTAAGTCTGTAAATGAAGGTTTAAAGATTTGTTTTACCAGCTTAATTAGTGAGCTAATGAATGTCAAAAATAGTAAACTTATAAATTAATATGAATATGTTAATTTTGGAATGAGATATGTGTTATTTTTCATCTTAAGGTTTATTAGTAGGGAACTGATCAGTTACCCAGTTATCGTATGTTGAATTATTCTAGAAATTAATAAATGTGTTTGCTTAAAATTTAATTGCATTAGTGTTTTTTTTTTCTGTCATGTCACTCAATTTTTTGAGCCGGGAGGCTTTTAAGAAACATGGAGTTTTACTGTATTTGGTATTAATGATTTTTCCTTTTTACATGGGTTCTCACAATGCGCCCTAATGTACTAACCACTTAAACTAATTGTTTTGATTATGTATTGAGGTTGAGTGATAAAAGACATTTATGTGATTGATAGTTTTTCACTCTTATTGATTATTATTTATTATTTTATTTAGTTAGTTTGTCCGGCACCATAAGTCAGTTTTAAGGTTTAAGTTTAGAAGTTAAAACCTTTAACACGTTGAGTGCAGTGGCGGTCCCTGGGGACTGGTAGTGAACTCTCGTGTGGCTGGCGTCGCAGTGAACTTTCCGTGTGGCCAGTCCCAGAAACAAAAATTCCAGTGCCTTGGCCGAATTTTCGTTTGGCTGGTGTCGGTCTGCAGGACCGACAGTATTAAAGTTAAAAATAAATATAGTCTCAATGAAATGTGATCAAATTTAGTTTTAATGAAATGTATTGAAACATTCTAAACAAAAATACGCTTAGCTCGCTGCCGGCTGAATGGAAAGGACAGCAAATTCAGGGCCGCACTCAACATGTTAATTTTCAGTATCACAACGGAATGCTATGTCACGAATTTTAATTATATTAATGTTTACGTTATCTTTATTCAAGTAATTTTATCTGCACTCATGTATATTTTAAACTGGTAAAAAGAGTATTCTTTAATTGTTAAAGCTTTATTTAGCTCATTATTCTTGAAACTGTAACAAAGACAGAAAACATTTACGAATAGACCTTAAGGAATATGTTTATGGCCTTTTACTTAACAATAGGACTGATGGCAGTTAAGGTAATTGTCGAATTTCTTCGCGGGGGGAGGGTTTAGTAGATTGGGCAGGAAGTCATAAAATTGGCTTTCTCATGTTCACTTGCTACCGCTTTTTATATCTGCAATGTTTCCTTCAGAACAGTGGGGTTTCTTGTAAGTTTAGGTAATTGGAGTTTCCTTTCGTTAGTTTCGCTGTTAGCTGGGGGTCTATTTTTCACGTTTTTCCTGAAGTATAGATGTACGGTTGCATAGTGAGATTTTTCTTGTTTTTGATTTGTTGTGGAGAAGAAATTTCTCTGTTAAAGATAAAGAAAAATTCTGGGGTTGGTGAAATTTAATTTTATGATTTTTTTGTAAGCCTATGAAGTTACGGGGGCAGAGAGACCGAGTTTACCTTAGAGGCTGCACAATGTAAGAAGTCTTTTCTGATTCTGATTTTTGAGCTAAAAGGAAAAGGAGAAGTGGAAAGTATGGTGGGGCTTCCCCTTTGAGGGGCGAGAGCCAGCTGTTGATTCAGATTTGAGCTGCTAAGTGAAAGAGTTCAAAAGGAGAAAGAGCATGGGGGCTTGAAGCCTTGCTCTTACAAATGGCATGTACCAGCGGGCTCCAGTTATGGTTTTCCTTTGGAGTCTGGTATAGAGTGATTTCGAGCAGCGGCGATGTGATACAGAAAAAGCAAAAGAGGGGGTCTTGCCCTGCTGCCGACTTTGCCGTGTGGCTGGTTGCCTGAGCAAGAGAGCTTGGGCTGCATCTTTCTTTGCTCTAGAGCTTGCATTCTTTACTGTAGATGTTTAAAAGTTTTGTGTGAGATGCAAGGAACATTTTCCTCTCAAGATGTCTGGAGAAACGTGCACGAGCTTCAAAGAGCATTTGACTGAGAGCTGATTACTACTTTAGTGCGAGATGTATGGAGCCAAACCTACCAAGAAAATTTAGAACAGAATTTCCCTCTTCATCCGAATCTCCAGTTAATTTTTTCCGACCCCTAAAATTTGACATTCCCGAAGTGAATATGCCTGACACTTGGAAGTTCCAGATCGACGTTTCGTTGTTACTATCCGGCACCTGTGGTTACTGATATACATTTCGTACAGAAATCTGTTCCTGAAGAATGAACTTATCCTTGATCCAGCAGTTAGTTTAAAAAATAAGGCTTCACCCCGTTTCCAGAAATTCTTGTGCAGAATGGACTTCAACGTGTGAGCGTTAGTTTATTAACCTTTTTTCAAGGTGTTGGCTCAAGGAAATAGACTTGCTCTGTGAATAGGAAATTCGGACACTCCCCTCAAAATTATATGTTCCGGAAAATCTGTAAGTGATTTTTAAAATTTGTCTACCTCTCTATCTTTTCTAATTCCATAGAAGTAAATCATTTATTTTATATAACTACTAAGTGATTAGAATATTTTGAATAATGACCAGTTACTTTTAAGTCTGTAAATGAAGGTTTAAAAATTTGTTTTACCAGCTCAATTAGTGAGCTACTGAATGTCAAAAATAGTAAACTTATAAATAGTAAACTTATAAATTAATATGAATATGTTAATTTTTGAATGAGATATGTGTTATTTTTCATCTTAAGGTTTATTAGAAGGAACTGATCAGTTACCCAGTTGTTGTATGTTGAATTATTCTAGAAATTAATAAATGTGTTTGCTTAAAATTTAATTGCATTTGTGTATTTATCTTTTGGGGGGGGCTGTCATGTCACTCCATTTGTTTGAGCCAGAGGCTTTTAAGAAAAAACATGAATTTGGTGTTATTGATTTCATTCCTTTTTACACAGGTCCTCACAACACGCCTAATTATATTAACCACTAGAGATTAACAACTAGATCATATGTTAGGGTTTATTGATAAAAAGATATTTATGTGCCTTTATAGAAATTTCACTATTGATTATTATATATTATTTATTTTGAGAGTTATTGTCCAGCACCTAGAGAGTTTGAGTTAAAGTTTAAAAGTCAAAACCCCCTCATTTTCAGATATTCAACACATGTATATACATTTATTTAATAAGATTTTATTGATAATTCGGTAAACAGCTCAACAACATTTAAAACATGTATGAACAAGAAAGTATTAAGTAACAAAAAGAAAGAAACATTATATCAGCATACCTTGCTTTGCAGATTTTGGAATAGGATCTTCTTCAGAATCTAGAAAAGCAAGCATAAGGACATGAGAAAATATAAATCATTTTTTTATTTATAACTAGTTATTTTATGTGGATCCCACGAACTTAAATATATATATATATATGTGTGTGTAATAGATTCTGTAGTAGAACGCAGGTGGTTGTATCCACAATGAACAGCTAGAATTTTGATGCCGTAGAATGCTGAAATGCCGATCCACAAGGAATAAGAAATTTGGCAGTCAAGGTATATTTAATTTAACTTTTATTTCAGTAAACATGTTGTGGCCATGATCAAGTTGGCACATCAATTGTGCCTATTTGAAAAAGTTTACATTTTTTAAAACTTTGTAGCAAGAAAGCAGCAGCAGACAGACAGCAGTCCAGCTAGGCCAAAGCGTGGAAAGCAAGTGTGTTATGTTTAGAGTGAAATCTGAATTCAGACTTAGTTAGTTTTGGTTCTCAATGCATTCTGATTGGATGATTAATATTGCTGTAAAATTACTATTGGCTGTTTTAGTTTCATTTACATCATCAGAATTATGTAAGAGTCATATGAGATAGATTTTTCTCGAAATGACGCAGTGCAAATAGAGGTTACTATTTTTAGAATACAGAAGGGAATTAATTTTTGCTGCTAATTTAATCTTTTACATATTCTTTATTTTTCTTACATATATATATATATATATATATATATATATAATTAAACAGTCCTATAAAAGTCACTACATTTATTTTACTTTATGTTATATGATGAAATTTCATTTTTATTTGTGTATTCATTATTCATTTATACACATTACAGCAAATATCTGCACCTTTGCCTAGTGCGGATTTGCAGAATGCGATTTCACATACATGTGCTATCTTAATTGCCTCCATTTAAATTATCCAATGCTAGAATTTTATTCATACGTGACTGAAGAGTGATTGTGATTGATTCATCAATATTGAGTGCTTCTTAGCATCATCTCTGGCCAGAAGTTTTCAAGAATTTTAAAGGATTCCCATCCACTGAAAATCAAGCCGAAGAAATCACACAAACTGCAAATGCAATATTATTATTACTATTGGAAGCCTAGGATTTTCAGATATGGAAGAAGGAGAAGCCAAAAAATTAATCGAAAACTAATCTTATAACACAACCACTCATTAAAGCAGTGATAAGGAAGAAAAAGATAATGCTCCTTTAGCTTGAATTTAAGCAAATTGTTGAAAAAATGAGATAAATTGTCTGATTTTGCAAAAGTGGTTGACCCACATGAAGAAATAAAAGGTCACTTAATAAGAGATGAAAAATTTTGCACTTCTTACCACAAAATGTTTAGAGAGTTGCACCAGTAATTGACCCAAATAAAAATCACCAGTGTTTAAAACAAATACTTGCATCTTGTATGCATTAAGTAGTTTTAAAAATCCTTCCAATTAACATTTATTTTTTTCTCTTTTAATTACAACAATATTTAGCTTTGTTCAAATTATACATACTTTCTTAATCATGTGGCTCAATGCAGAACAATTTGTATAACTCTGTATGAAAATTATTCAGCAGGAGATAAATGGAATGACGGAGCATGCATTTATCTATATAACGGTCACAAGAAAGTCTATTTATTACTAAAAACAAAGAGAAAAAAAATTAAAAACCTGGTTCCTCAATGCAAAAAAGTTTTAATAAGGGGTTTATGATCGCTGTAGGATTTTCTTACAGTGGAAACCTCAAAATAACATAATTCTTTCAACTAAATTCTTTCATAAAGTTAAATTTGCTGAATGCAGTTTTGCCCTATGCACAATGTATCAATTATGTAAACCAAACATTAGGTAAGGGTTTACTGTATTTATTTGAAGATTATTACAGTACACTTCAAATTATGATATTATAAAAATTGTAATTCTGCATTTACCTGTGTAATATTCTTATTTTTTCATTAATTTTACTGCAAGAAAAATGAGAGGGGAAGAACTACATTGTGCATATCATTTCAGGGACAGGTGGAAAAATAAGAACTTTTGTGATTAAAAAGCAGATATGAATTGTATTCAGTAGCAGTGTTCAACACTACTTTTTTACTTACAGTATATGCTGCTACAGAGAATGTTTACACATTTTTAGAATGATTTTAGGGACCTTTAATTAATGTTTAAAATGTATTCCTTTTAATGTTCGATCTGATACCCTCTTTTTGGACAACTATGCATTGTGATTTCCATGATAGAAGGGCTTTTGTAAAATTTCCTGGGGAATTGATATCCAATCCTTTTCCTCTACTTTCCAGAGTCCATCAACAGTGATAGCTTTGCACTTAGAAAGAGTTCTTTTCAGGCGACTAAAGGCACATTAACCCATAGATGAATCATCAGAAAACTTTGAATATGTTAAAAACGTATACAGTACAAAGTCCGAGATCCGGATGTCCAATATCCAGAATGATCTAAAATCCGAACAGGCACCAACTTTTAATTTTTTTTTTTTTTTTTTTTTTTTTTTTTGTGTGTGTGTGTGTGTGTGTGTGTGTGTATGCTTTAAGCATGCACTTGTGATTTCCCCCACCCCCGTGCATAATAAAACATGTGGAGAGTCCGATTCTTAATTTCACTTCGGCACTAAAAATCTCATTATTGATGAAACAATCATTTTAGCATAAATTTGTATGATCAATAATTTGGCTCCGTAGATGCATATCTGCTTTGCATACATCTCAAACTGAAATATTCTACATAGATACATCGTTGACTTTACACCTACTAATATTTTGTATTCCTGACACCAATTATTTATTACATTTTGCTTTCATCACCGCATGTTTATCAACACATAACAACTTGAGTAATGACTCATGTAGCAATGCCTAAACAATTTTTTATAATAGTAATTGAATAATAAAGAATACAGTAACCTTTTATGTTGACATTACGCTTGGCAATGATTAGAGATTTAAGTTCAATATGCTAAGAAACGCCGAAGAGGAAAAATTTAATAAAAATTTCTTATTTTTAGTGCTATTGAATTAAGAATAACCAATTTATTACTCACATAAACCCAGAACCAGCGCCAGGGCTTATATGACCGCAGCAAAATTTAGGGAAGACAAAAGGAGGCGTTTGGCAGAATTTAATACCCACAGAGACTGCATCAGGCAGTAAGATATCTGGCGCTGGCCCTCAATAAGCCTTAGTATATGTGGGAATTTATTTATTTGGACTCAGATAAGCATGTGCAAGAAATAGACATAAGTAAAATAAATAACTAAACTAATACAATTCAGGCTTATCTCAGTGCACGATAGAAGCAAAATAAAATTTAGCGGAACAACTTGCCTTTAGTTGCCAATATCATGATACATAGCCAAATATGCATAGTGAATGACAGCTAAATTTTATGATAATAGCCGCGAATTTAAAAATTTTTTGGATATCACAAACAAAAGGTGAGATTTTCCAATTAACGGATTCTGTAAAGAAATGTGGAGATGTGGTAGATATAAAAGAAGTTTTTTATTGCGATGACAATGTCCTCAATTATCAATCAATTAATGGAGGGTGAAACCTGTAGTACGGTTCTAGATCCAGAAAATACGGCTACCGATACTGAAGAAAGCAACAGAGAATTTACTGAAAACGAAAAAATTTTGATTGACAAGTTAGTCGGGATTCTCAACACAGCAATTACAGGACTTCAACAATGTAACTAAACAAGAAATTATGTCTGTCTACAGAATTAAAGAGAAAGTGCTAGCACAAAGCAATTTAAACAACTTACATTGAAAGAAATGTTTAATAAACAAATAAATATTAAGCTTTTTGTTTGTAAATTTTGATACCCTTTGGATGAAAAATGTTTCATTATTTCATGATTCCCATTTCATATTTTTAATTTTATAATTTCTACATGCCATCTTACTAGATTTAAACTGATGATCTAACATCCGGAAATATCTCAAATCTGGAATCGCAGAAATCCTGATGAGTCCAGATCTCAGACTTTGTACTGTATATGCAATACCCGTATCAGTCTTCATTTCCCAAGGAATGCAGCAGTACTTTTCGAAATATGACTTGTTGCTTTCCCTTAATGAAGTTGCACCCTTTGAAAGACATTGGGATAAAGAAAGGGTATTTCTTCTGTAAAACTCGTAAAACTTTTTCTTGATGGTACATCGAGTTGATTTTTTAAACACTTTTTTTCTACTCTTCTTATTTTTAATTTCCCACTGTAAAAGAATCATGCGACAATCCTAAACACCTTATTGAAACATTTTTGCATTGAGGAACCAGGTTTTTTTAATTTTTTATCTTTGTTTTCAGTAATAAATGGACATATTTTTGTTAAAGTCATTTAGATATGTGGATGCTCCATCATTCCATTTATTTCCTGCTGAATAATTTTCATACAAAGTTATACAAATTGTTCTGCATTGAGCCACATGCCTTGGCAAAAATTATTGAACATTGTTTTTTAGCTTTTTAAGTTGTAGGGTTTATATTTATTTTAACTAACATTTATTTTAAGTTTAAACTATCTTTCCTGTCAAGCCTTACTTTCCCCTGGAACTGCCAATGCCAGAATATGTAAATTTGAGTAGAACGCGCAAGCATTCAAATTATCAGCGGAAGTAGTATGATTTAAATAGAAGGAAACGAGTTCGGTGAGAGAGTTATTCTTACTTAGCGAGCGCGGAGGTAGTTATCGAGAATTGAAGAACCCCGCGTTGCGGCCTATGTGCTTGGCGGGAAGTAGTTGCAATTGTTCCAGTGAGCTTCAAGTCTGCTGAATTAGCAGCGGTATTTTGTAAAACGCGGTGAGTTAGTTATTTTAGAGAGCCTCGTAGTTAGAATCTTGTCTTTACTTTCTTTTCAGGTTATTATTTTTATTTGACTGCCTAGTTGGCACAGTTTGTAAGCGTCAAGAGGACGCAATTGTAATTTATTACGTTGAATAAAAAGGGACTTAAACCCTTTATAAGACTCTGTGGTTTTATACAAGCTTTCACAGTCACCTCTTGGTTGCGTGCAAGT